CATCCATCCATCCATCCACCCACCCACCCATCCACCCATCCATTTAACCATCTACCCAACTATATCCCTAACCATCCAATTATCCATCCATCTACCCATCCATCCATCCATCTACCCATCCATCCATCCATCTATCCATCCATCCACCCAACAATCCAGTCACTCTTCTACACAACTGCCCGATCATTCATCCAGTCATCCAACATTTTTAAAGCACCTATATGTGCTATGTTCTAGGAATATAAGCTTGAAAACTATGGGGATCTTGATTTTTAGGTGCTCTTGGACAGACAAGAAGACTAAATCCCCATCCTCCAACATAAATACAGAAAAATACAAATGTTTTCTGCATGTCAGTTTTTGTCTTGAACTCATGTCTTTCTAGGCTAGCAAAGAGCTTCACACTCAGTTTCAACACTTCCATTTTCTCCTCGGGGGGTGGCCCAGATCCCCCAAGGCTGCATTGTTCTGGGCCTTTGGGAGAAAGGGGCCCCTCTAGTCCTTCAGTGTCCTCTGCTGTTTTCTCTGGGCCTGGTACCCCAGCCATGTGTGGGTTTTCTGCTAAGACAGCCTTCTTTTTCTGCCAGGTTGATCGGGACAGCCTCTGCCTGGAGCAGAACTTTTTAACCTTATCTGCATAATTTTTTGGTTTTAATTTTTTAAATATATTCATGATAGCATCCTTCATTTTTGTATGACTTGTCTGCATAATTTATACACCCCAAGCCCCTGGGGAGCTTTAAAGCAAGCTGAAATTTATACCCCACCCTGGACCAGTTAAATCAGAAACTCCAAGAATGGGATCTGAACTCAGGCATTTTAATCTACAACTTCCCAGAGTGTTCTGAGGGGTGGCCAAGCACGAGAAGAACAGTGGGCACCCCGCCCAACATCTGCCTCTCCACCATTCTTCTGTTCACCCCCATATGGATAAGAGGGGGTGTCTGGTTTTTGTCTGCAGCTAATCTCTTCCCATGTGAGTTTCTGGGCAAGACCGTCTGTGTCCCAAATCTGTCCCCACTAAGATGAAGAATGGCCAGAGAGTCTGCTTCCTGCCAGGTCACACCCTGCTTGGGCAGTGAGCCGAGGGGTGCCTATATGAGGGGGGGGAGAGGGGACCATAGAGGTAGGGCAACTTGAGGTGCTCAGAGAAGCCACTCATAGAAGAAACACAGGTGCGGACACCTCATCTCTGTCCTCACGCCCTCACTGTCCGTGGCGGCTCTGTCCCCAGGACAGTGATCCCCTTCCATTCCAAGTTGCTCTGGGTGTGGCCTGTGTCTACGCACTCAGGCCTCAGTCTGCTCTGGGCCTGACCTGGACATGGGCTTGTGGCCTGGGCACTGTGTGAAGAGGACGCAACCGGCTCCCTGGAGAGGCCTGCCCCAGGGCCCTCACCAGGCCTGCAGCAGGGCCGGGCGCTCACGCCCCGTGTCCACGGCAGGTGGTGTGGATCACGGCCACGCTGCCCTACCTCGTGCTGTTTGTGCTCCTGGTCCATGGCATCACGCTGCCCGGGGCCGCTGACGGCATCAACGCCTACTTGCACATCGACTTCCACCGCCTCAAGGAGGCCACGGTCAGTGCTGGCGGCCCCGGGCACGGGTAGGGGTCGGGGTGGGCAGTGACGGGAAATCCACCCGCTGGCACATCCTGGCGCGGCCATGTCCCTCTCTGGTTGCGGTGTCTCCACTGGGCCTGGGACGATCTGACCTGCCCTTGACCATCTCCCTGTCCATCCAGGGCTGTTGGTCTGGAGCGCTGTGGCCTCTGCAGAGAGCCACACCCTGTTCTGGGTCTTCACCCCGCCATGTGCCATGATCCCCGAGGTCATCTTAGCCACTGACACCATTTCCTCGCTTGCTCCCCACCTGGCCTTCACCACCACCCCCCAGTGTCTGTAGAAGGAGCAGCATCAGCTATGGGGGAGGCCGGGACCCGGCTGGCACCCCGCCCCCCTCCACCCCTGCCCCCTGCAGCTCAGTCCTGCCCGGAGACACGACAGTGCAGCTGGGATGAATCGGGAGTGGAGTAGAAAGTAGTGCAGCAATTCTGGGGGCACAGATCCTGGAGGGGTCCACACCGCGAGCCATCTGCAGAACAAAGCCGAGATATTTCTCACCTCCTCCCCAGGGGCCACACCCCAACATTTCCCTACACTCTGAACCCACTCTAACCCTGCGGGCCAGGCACCAGAATGTGGGGAGGGTCACAGCTGGATCTGCACCTTGTCAGCTCCGACATCCCCATACATCTCGGAGAAGCCCCGATTTCCCTGGTAACTCAGTACCAGGAATGACCCTTGGAAAGAGTAAAAAGTCAGACTCCCATTTGCTCTGTAGCTGCTTAAACACTCCAGGTCTTTGCATCCATGCTGCTTCTCCTTCACCATATTGTTACAGGGGAGGGAGAGAGGCACCCCAGCACCCCCAAAGCTGCCCGCTTTAAGTAGGTTCTGCCATCCGCCACATCAAGACAAAACATGTAAGACCTTTGGTGGGAAGGAACTTTAGTACAATGAGTGTGCCATACAGATAAGACAAAGAATATAGTTCCTAAATATAACACCCGAAGTTCCTCGTCCCCTCATGGGTAAAAGTCCACGCAACAGGGACTGGCCCAAGCAAGGCCTGAAAGCCACAAGCCTAAAGCACCTTCTGGCAGGGGCCATAGAAAAGGGTCAGCAATGGCCAGACAAGTCTGGGAGGAAAAGAGCAACATCAAAATCAAGATAATACTACAGTCACCTCCCCACGGGTCTCACCCACGTCTGTGTCACCCAGTCCAGGGCCAAGAAGCCAGAGCTGCTTCTCCACGTGTCTCTGCTCCCTGTGGCTCCCTCAGGTCCCCTCTGGCTCCACCCTGCTTCCTTCCCCCTGAGACTCCTCTCCAGCTTCTCCTCCTCCCTGCTCAGCTCCACCCTCCCTGGGGTGGGGCAGGGAGCCTGGAGCCTCCCCTTTCCCTGGGGTCTGCCCACTGCAGTATTCTCACTGTGAAGCAGGGGATGCTTACAATAACGTTAGTGGGGCGGTGCAGGGCAGCTGTTAGCCTGGCTGCCCGGCCATTCAGATGAGGAGATGCCTGAAACTGCCCAGGGCGAGCCAGGAGGCAGGCTGTGGCCAAGGACTCAGAGCTCCGGGCTTCTGCCCAGGGCTTCACCCCCCCAGGAGATGGGACCAGCCTACCCTACTGCCGTCCATCAGGTCTGGACAGAAGCTCCTGGGAACTTCTAGAGACGCTGCTCCCTGACTCCCAAGGGAGCCCCAGCCCTGAGCCCTCACCTGAGCCCTCACTCTATCCCCAGTCTAGTCTGGAACTTCTAGGTCACGAACTTTCTTTGGAAATCAGATGGCGTCAGTGACCCCTCACGGCCATCCCCGCTGGGGCACACTCCCGAGACCCCTTCTACATTTCATACCAGCTGCAGGGGAGCGGGAGTTAGGGGCTACTGTCTCCGGCCAGCCCCCCAGGCCCCAGAGCCTCTTCCTGCAGCGAGCATTGGGAGGAAGGGTGACGGCCCCTGCCCGTTCCAGGTGTGGATCGATGCTGCCACCCAGATCTTCTTCTCACTGGGAGCTGGGTTTGGTGTCTTGATTGCCTTTGCCAGCTACAACAAGTTTGACAACAACTGCTACAGGTAAGAGGCTTCTGGGAAGCCGTGAGCCTTGAGGCCCACCGGGCAGGGCCGGAGCGCAGTGGCGAGGGCTGTGTCAAATTCGCACCTTGGGTTTCTCCCTCTGTGAAGTGAGGCAGGAGGGACCAGCTGTTCTGTGAACCCAGCATGGCCTCAGGGATTCATTCGGGATTCCAGATGCCAGGGGAGGGCTGGGTGTCAGAGGTGGGTAGTGGGGCAGAGGTGGCCTGGGAGGCTTTCAGGATGACTGCGCTGCCCGTCTGTCCACCTGCTGCCCCACCTGTCCATCCACTGCCCTTCTGTCTACCCACTGCCTACCTGTCCACCTGCTGCCTACCTGTCCACCCGCTGCCTGTCTGTCTACCTGCTGCCCATCTGTCTGTCCACTGCCCGTCTGTCCACCCACTGCCTATCTGTCCGTCCACTGCCCTTCTGTCTACCCACTGCCTACCTGTCCACCCGCTGCCTACCTGTCCACCCGCTGCCTGTCTGTCTACCTGCTGCCCATCTGTCTGTCCACTGCCCGTCTGTCCACCCACTGCCTATCTGTCCGTCCACTGCCCTTCTGTCTACCTACTGCCTACCTGTCCACCCGCTTCCTGTCTGTCTACCTGCTACCCATCTGTCCATCCACTGCCTGTCTGTCCACCCACTGCCTATCTGTCCATCTGTCCATCCACTGCCTTTCTGCCCATCCGCTCTGTCTATGCATCCGCTGCCTGGGCAGGCACATCAAGTCTAGCCCTGGCCAGGTCACAACCTGCAGGACAGACTGGAAAGTCTGCAGGGACACCCTCTGCTCCAACCAGGGAGCACTGACCGCTGCTCTTGTGAGCTCAGAGTGCAGCTTGGGCCTCGTCCTACGGTCTCGATCAGTGACTTAAGCTCTCTGCTCAGAGGCCAGGACCCATGACTATACACCAGCAGGACAGGCTCTTGGGGGGCTGGGAAGTAGGTGACCGGGCTGGAGAACATGACTCAGGAGCAGCATGAGGGAGGCAAGGCGGCACCTTCTGGAACAGCAAGTTGACTGGGCTCCAGGCGTTGGGGCCTGGAAGGGAGACCGGGCCAGGTTAACACCGCTCCCGGGTGCCAGGGTGAGAAGTGGTGGGCGCAGGGCAGCCACATGGCCTAGTTCTACACGTGCAGGGACGGACCCGAGAGGTGGCCTGGGACCAGTGGGTGCAGGGAGACGGGTCTCAAGCTGCGAATGCAGAGACGGTGCCCAACGTGCGAGTGGGCTGGGCAGGGCCTGAGGATTTGCACTAACACCGCTTCCCCCAGGGACGCCCTGCTCACCAGCACCATCAACTGCGTCACCAGCTTCGTCTCTGGGTTCGCCATCTTCTCCATCCTCGGTTACATGGCCCACGAGCACAAGGTCAACATCGAGGACGTGGCCACTGAAGGTGGGTGGGCGACCAGCCTGTGAGGAGGGGGGCTGCAAACCCACCTCATTCTCAGCTGTACCCACCTCTGTGGCTGCGGGACTGGGAGTGCCGGGCTCTGAGGTTTCCTGGCCTTTCCCCGAGGTGGTCAGTGGGCGGGGGGCTGTGAGACCCTCCCTGAGTCAGGCTAGGCAGGGCCATCCTGGAGGGCCATCACCTGTGCCAGCCCCATGCCAAGCTCACCATCCCTTCATTCAGTGCTGCCTGCCCTGAGGCAAGTGTTCAAAGACCCACTTTAAAGGTGAGAAGTCTGAGGCCCAGGCTGTGTGACCAGCCAGTGGCCAGTGTCCACCTCTCGACGCTGCTGCCTCCCGTACCTGTGGCCACAAAGCAGCTGAGACCTAGGGGGCGCTATGCTAAGGGACTCAGGCCAGAGGGGGGTTTGCAGCTGGCGCTGTGGCCCTGCCCTCTGGCCTGGCCACCTGAGGTCCCCTCTCTCCTGCTTAGTGAAATGCAAGCTTGACCTGGCCCCATGTCATCTTCAGACCCCTGTTTGCTCTGTCCACCCATGACTGACCGGCATGGGGTGGTGGGGCCCAGAAACCTGCCTCTGTCAGCTGGAGCCCAGCACAGTCTCAGCCCTGGATGAGCAGTCCACGTTTTTTTTTGCAGGAGCTGGACTCGTCTTCATCCTCTACCCTGAAGCCATTTCTACCCTATCGGGGTCCACGTTCTGGGCTGTGGTGTTCTTCATCATGCTCCTGGCACTGGGCATAGACAGCTCGGTGGGTGGTCCTGCTCCGGGTGCCA